GGGATCCGAACCCTCGGCGGGAGCGCCACCGCGCTCCCAAGCACCGCACTCTACTGAGTGCGCCACTGGGCCGGCCCACCTCACCCATTTTATAAATGAGGAAGGGGGGGGTCCCCTTTGTGTTTTTATCATGTGGTCATGTTCCAACTATCTGGGTTCCAAACTGAGGGATGTTAGCTCCAAAAGACACTGCTCCCGAGTTCCTGCTGAGGTCAAAAGGGGGGATTAGGGAGAGGCAGCCATTCTGAGGGGCTCACTGTGTATGTTCTAGAATCTTCCCTACAGACCCCTGCTGATGATGGATCTGAGGAACCAGGTTCAGAAACCTCTGATGCTAAGAGCACTCCGACGGCCGAAGGTGGGACCTCCCTCCCCTTGTTGCTTCATGCAGGCAGCTCCCCTCCCTGCCTGCAGCCTGCGCTCAGCTCAGCCATGCTTTGAGCTCCCTTCCTGGCTGTGCCACCACGTGCATCCCCCTCCCTGGCTGCATTTGCTGCTGCCTCTCGCCCTGGCTAAGAGACATGCCCATTTAGTGCTTTGCAGGACAGTGTTGCAGAGCCCAGCCCTGGCTTGAGGCTTTGTGTGCTAGTGCCTGGTGTGGACACCTTCATCGTGCGTGTGCTCTGGAGGCAGCCACATTTGGAGAGGCTGGGATCTGTAGAAAGCAGAGCCCATGCACAGCTCCACAAAGCCCCGGTTCTGTATCAATTGTCCTTCCACAACCCCTTCCTGGGGAAGCCCCCGCCCCACTCTTCTTTCATGAGCCACCCATTCCAGAGCAGCCACTTGGCTGAGGGATGGGGCAACTCAGGGCACATCTCCAGGCTCATATTTTTGGACATGCCTTAGTTTAGTATCTTTCATTTCTTGTGGTCTGGGTATGGCCTGGGTCTCTGGACTTTAGCCACAGTGTTCATTCCAGCCCTTCTTCTAACTGTCCCCTCCAGATATTTGGTGTCTAGGTCGCTATAAAGCTCATCATGTATTTCCTGAAGTGCTCCTCAGACCCAATTTTGACCACCTTCTCNCATACATCCAATCACTCAGTAATCCATCTATCTGTCCATCCCTCCATCCCTCTATCCAGTCGTCCATCCAGTCATGTATCTACCCATCATCCAATTATTCTGTAATCTATCCATCTGTCTATCCGTTCGTTCTGCCATCCATCCATCCATCCAATCATTCAATAATCCATTCATCCCTCCATCCACCCATCCCCTCATCCTTCCATCCTTCCATCCTTCCATCCAATCATTCATCCACCCATCCATTCATTCATTTATCATAGCTTGAGCCATGACTTACTGCCTGAGGGCAGTCCAAGTGGGACTGAAATGCAAGGAGAAGCCCAGGATTGTCCCCATAAGCACTTGGCTCCTTCATATTGATGAGAACTAGATCCACAATTATTAATCTTTATGGGTTGCACGGGCCGGCCTGTGGCTCACTTGGGAGAGTGTGGTGCTGATAACACCAAGTCAAGGGTTGGGATCCCCTTACCAGTCATCTTTAAAAAAAAAAAAATCCTTATGGGTTGCAAAGTGCTTTCACCAACATTTACTCGTGGGATCCTCCCAACAGCTCCAAGTGGAGGCAGGTAGAGTCGATGTCACCTCACCCATTTTATTTTTTTTTTCCTTTTTGTCTTTTTTCGCGACCGGCAACGGGATCGCAACCCTCGGTGT